GGAGGACGAGAAGGAGGAGAAGGAGCAGAGGGAGGAGAAGGAGGAGAAGGAGGAGGAGGAAGAGGTGGATGAGAAATTGAAGAGGACGGCGAACCGAAGAGACAGAAGCGTCTGAAATGCATTTCGGAGATCCTCTTGAGGCTTCTTAGGGTTCTCTGGGAAGCCTCTTGGAGGTCTCTTGGGCGCTTCTTGGGGCCTCTTGGAACCATCTTGGGGCGGTCTTGGGGCCTCTTGGAACCATCTTAGGAACCATCTCGAGCGATCTTGCGCTATCTTGAGCCATCTTGGAGCTCATCTTGGGCTCTCCGAGGCGCTCTTGGAGCCGTCTTGGGCGAAAAAGCACCGTCTGACACCTCGCGCCCCCCCCCCCCTTCCAGGTCCAGGGGAGGGGGTATGGGGAGGGGTAAACCCCTCCCCAAGGGGGAAGAGGGAGGGGTGGAAGAGGATCTGATTTAGACCACCTACGCCCAGAGGGCTGGTGGGATTTGCAACACTTACAGGGATGGAGGGCGGTTCCTTTTTGAAAATGAGTTCTCGCCTGAGACTTCCTCGCCGTGTATAATCCTGAAGCTTGAAGTTTGCAACAGTTTTATGGATGGAGGGCGGCTGTTTTTCAAAATGGGGCTTTCGCTTCGATTCAAACGTGGCAGTGCGCACGGCGTCGCCACGTCGTCCTGGATCGACGAAGAGTATTATATCGTCGACGCCGTGCGGCGCGTGCTTGCTGGAGATATCCTTGAGAGCCGCAATGGTGGCTGTGACGACTTGCTGTGCCCAAGTCCCAGGAGCGTTGTCCGGGATGATAGGACATATGGCGATGGTCTTGTGGTGGAGGTGCAAAGCGTGGCGAAATAGGCGGTCGCAGGTCGCAACGATGAGCGCGAGGAAGGAGGTCGACATCTCCTCATCCGCCTCGAAATCCTGGACGAGGATATCGTAAGGTCCCGCTACCAGCATCACGTCTGGCGCGAGAGGTGTGCCTGTCGGTGGTCTCGCACGTCGTTTGGTGGTGCTGTCGCCAGAAGTGAAGGACCGCCTTCGAATGTAGTTGGTGATGTGTTGGCGGGCGCAGGGGGAAACCCTTGCGTCCGGGCCGAGGGTGGTAACCCATCCTCGGCCGAATCGGGGGCAGGGGGAAACCCTTGTCTCCGGGCCGCCGGTGGTAACCCATCGGCGGCCGAATCGGGCGCAGGGGGAAACCCTTGCGTCCGGGCTGGGGGTGGTAACCCATCCTTGGCCGAATCGGGGGCAGGGGGAAACCCTTGTCTCCGGGCCGTCGGTGGTAACCCATCGGCGGCCGAATCGGGCGCAGGGGGAAACCCTTGCGTCCGGGCCGAGGGTGGTAACCCATCCTCGGCCGAATCGGGGGCAGGGGGAAACCCTTGTCTCCGGGCCGTCGGTGGTAACCCATCGGCGGCCGAACCGGGCGCAGGGGGAAACCCTTGCGTCCGGGCCGGGGGTGGTAACCCATTTTCGGCCGAATCGGGCGCAGGGGGAAACTCTTGCGTCCGGGCGGGGGGTGGTAATCCATCCTCAGCCGAATCGGGGTTGGTAGGGCGCCCCAGGGCGCAACCTATGGCGCAAGAAGTAGGAACCCGTTTAATTTTCGGCGGGCCAGGGTGCAACCTATGGCGCAATGAGGTGGAGGTGGGAAGACAGTGTCGGGCATTTTAGTGCAAGCATTGTCAGGTAGCAGCAGCTGCGCACCGATTGTCACCGTCAGTGAAGCAGCATTCGTCCCCCGTTCGTGCGGTGGCGAGTGCGGTGGTGACATTGAATCAGGAGTGCCCTCCTGAGTCAGGGGCCAGACCCTGGCGCATTCCTTTCTCGTTTCGAGACAGGTGGGTGGCCCAGAACAGGCCGTCCATCGGTCGCGAGATCCTGGTGCGCGCCGTGGCGCTGTGTAAGACCTGTGTGGGCGTCGGCGGTCAGTTGAATTTAGGTGCTAGCAAGAGCCATGTGCTCCTGAGGTGATAAGAAAACCTTTTTCGGTATGCAAAAGCCACACATATGCTTGAGGAAGATCATCGACGTGCGTCCTGGTAGTCCTCGGGCGTTTCGGAGAGCGAACACATCGTGCCAAAGGTTATGAACATTCAATATTTGTACAAGACGCTCACGGCGAATCACCGCCGCCCCCTGCCTTTTTGGAAACGCCGATGTGGCCGAATGTTGTGGCCAGAGGTCTGCCAAGCTATCGGCCATGTGTTCCCCGAATATGTTTGGAAAGCCTTCGGGGAACATGTGGGGGAAAATGAGCACGAAGAGAGGAATAGGAAGAGCAAGAGTAGGAGGAGGAGAAATAGGCTTCTTGGAGCCTCTTGGGGCACTCTTGGGGCCTGCTGGGAGCTTCCTGGAGGCCTCTTGGAGGCCCCTTGGGGGCCTCCTTGGGCATGCTGGGGGCGTTCGGGGGCTTCTTGGGGGCCTCTTTGGCCGTCTTAGGGCTTTCGTGGCCCGTCTGACTCCGTCTTGGGGGCTCCAGGGGGCGTCCAGGGCCGTCTTGGAGGCCATCTTGAGCGTCTTGGAGGCTTCTTTGGCCGTCTTGGGGCCCTCTTGGGGCCTTCTTGGGGGCCTCTTGGGCCGTCATGGGGCCATCTTGGAGGCCTCTTGGGCGCTCTTGTGGCGATGTTCGGGTTCTCTTGGGCCGTCTTGGGCCGTCGGAGAGCTGAAAAGAAGAACATACCAAAATCATTTGAAAAGCAATGGAAATCATTAATTTTGGCCCTTTCGGGCCTTCCTGGAGCAATTATTCGAGGATTCTTGGGCCGTCTTGGAGGCCTCTTGGGGGCCTCTTAGGCTTCTTGGGCCATCTTGAGGTTATTTTAGGCCGTCTTGGGTGCATTTTGGACCGTCTTGGAAGCATCTTGGGGCCATCTTAGCTGTCTCGGAGACCATCTTCGGCGTCTTGGAGGCCTCTTGTGCCGTTGTGTGGCTCTCTTGGGGGCGTCTTGGGGGCTTCTTGGGCCGTCGTGGGGCCATCTTGGAGGCCTCTTGGGCTATCTGGGGGCGATTTTGGGGGCCTCTTGGGCTTCCTTGGGGCGTCGGAAGGCCGAAAAGGCGCAAATACCAAAATCTTTCAAAAACCAAAGGAAAATCAACGATGTTGGCCTCTTCGGGCCTTCCTGGAGGAGCTCTTGGAGGCCTCTTGGGCCGTCTTGTGGGCCTCTGGGGAGCCTCTTGGGCCGTCTTGGGCCATCTTGAGACCATTTTAGACCGTCTTGGGTGCATCTGGGGCCGTCTTGGAGGCATCTTGGGGCCATCTGAGCCGTCTTGGAGCCTTTTTGGAGGCCATCTTGGCCGTTCTGGGGCCCTCGTGGGGGCGTCTTGGGAACCTCTTGGGCCGTCATGGGGCCATCTTGGAGGCCTCTTGGGCGATCTTGCGGCGACCTTGGGGGCCTCTTGGGCCGTCTTGGGCCGTCGGAAAGCCGAAAAGGTGCACATGCCAAAATCATTTAAAAACTTCAGGTAAACCGACGATTTTGACCTCTTCGGGCCGGCCTGGAGGACCTCTTGAAGGCTTCTTGGGCTGTCTTGTGGGCCTCCGGGGGGCCTCTTAGACTGCCTTGGGCCATCTTGAGGCTATCTTAGGCCGTCTTGGGTACATCTTGGGCCGTCTTGGAGGCATCTTGGGGCCATCTGGGCCTTCTTGGAGGCCATCCTGGCCATTTTGGAGGCATTTTGGAGGCTATCTTGGAGCCGTCTTGGGCAGGAAATTGGGGAAATGACGTCCTGGAAGATCCTTTCGGGTGGCCGGCGGGACGGGCCGAAGCCCCAGGGGGAGTTCTTTTGGAAAAGAACCAAAACCAAAACCTAAGAAGTCCAGCGCGCCAGGCACCCCTGTGGCAAGAGCACAGGGGGCGGCGGATGACGGAAAGCGCGCTTGCGTCGCGATCCGTTAGTCGGGAGAAATAACAAGGGGGGGTGTGGGGGGGTGGCAGCCGCACGCCCCAGATGACGGAAAGCGCGCTTGCGTCGCGATCCGTTAGTCGGGAGAAATAACAAGGGGGGGTGTGGGGGGGTCGGCCAAAAACCCCCAAGATGACGGAAAGCGCGCTTGCGTCGCGATCCGTTAGTCGGGAGAAATAACAAGGGGGGGTGTGGGGGGGGCGGCAGCCGCCCCCGGTAGATCTAATGGGCCTAAGTTTCGGCCAAAATCGTCCCATTCCTATGGGAAAACGTATATTTTTAGCATAATTTGCTTTTTCCGTCCTCGATGCGTCCAAGACGGCCCAAGAGGCGCCCAAGATCGCCCCATGACGGCCCAGGAGGGCCCCCAAAGAGCCCCAATGCGGCCCAAGAGGGCCCCAAGATTGCCGAAAGTTTTGGCAAGAATCGACCCATTCCTATGGGAAAATGTATATTTTTACCATATTAGCTAAAACGCGCTTTCCGCCCCAGTGCCGAGCAGGTCTAATTGCCTTAAGTTTCGGCAAAAATCGTCCCATTCCTGTGAGAAAACGTAAAGAAAAGAAAAGAAAACCGGACCCACCGGACCCGCCGGTATTTCTTTTCTTTTCTTTTTTCCGTCTGTGCCTTTTTGATTCAAGCCGCGCAGTCGCTTCATCTGCTTAGTGCTGTTCCACTCGGCTGCGATGTCCGTCATGCCAGTGCAGGGCAACAAAGCCGCTCGCAAGCGGGCGGCTCGCGACGCTGATCCGGGCGTCCTTGCGAAACGCGCCGCGTGGGCAGCGGCGCATCCGGTTTTGCCGGCGCTTCCAGCTCCAGCGGTCGCAGCAACGACGCAGCCGGTCCTGCCGTCCACGAGCGGGGGTGCGCTTGTGGGCACGAGCGGGGGTGCGCCGTCCGCTCCGGGCGGCCGCGGTGCTCCGCCCCCTCCGGGCGTGCCAGTCCTCTCGTCCACGAACGGGCGTGCGCCGCTTCCTCCGGGCGGCGGGCGTGCGCCGCTTCCTCCGAGGGTCGCGAAGTCCGCCAGAGAGGCCGACGCGAACGCGCCGGCGGTACATTTTGGGTTCCTCGTCGGCACGGACGAGTTTTCGAACAAGAAGAAAGAAATGATGGGCAAGGTCCTTTGGATTAAATGTTCTTCTTATTATTCTTCTTTCTTTGATTGTTTCTGTATGCGCCCCCCTCCTCTCCCCTCCCCTCGTTCTTTTCCCCATCACGTGTACTCCACTCTCGCGCCTTTTTGTGTGCCTCTCTCGCTCTCTCTCTCTCTCTCTCTCTCTCTCTCTCTCTCTCTCTCTGTCTCTCTTCTTACTCTTGGTTTCTCTCTCTCTCTCTCTCTTTATTTTGTTTTGTTTTCTCTTCTCTCTCTCTTTCTCTTCCTTCCTCTCTGCTTTATGGTTGTCGATCCTCTTTCCCTCTAGGTGGATTCAGCTCGTTCTCCCTTCACGATCTCTTCCTTTCCCTCTTGCTCTCTTCTCTGTTCTGGTATTCTCTCTTTCACTCTCCCTCTCCCTGTCTCCGTTTGGGCGTCGCTCGCTCTCTCTCTCTCTCTCTCTCTCTCTCTCTCTCTCTCTTTTTCTTTCTCTTTCTCTATTTCTCTCTCTCTCGCATTCGCGCAATTGCTGCCTTTCTCTCTGTCGCACATCCCCTGGCGCTGTTTCTGCAGCCTGTGACTCAATTATTCTCTCTCCTTCTCTGGCGCTTTCTCTCTCTTTTTTCGCTTTCTTATCTCTGTGTCTGTTCGCTTTCTTTTTTGTGTCGATTGATACACACGTGCTCTGCGCGGTCCCTCCTTGTTGGTGTTGCTCTCAATCCGCCTTCTTTCTCTCGTCTCTCTTAGTCTCTCTCTCTTTCTCTGTATGTTGTTTGTTCGAGATATGCTATTGTTCATTCGCGTTTGTGTCCGGTTTTTACAAAAGAAGAAACATTCCCGTGAGTTTGCTTGCGCTACGCTTGCAGGCTCCAGCGCTTTGTTTATGTTTTCTTGTTTGCCCGCTACCCCTGTGTTTTTCATACGTTTGTCCAGAGTGTTGTTTTTGTTGTCGCTCTGTGTATTCCCTCTCTGCATCATCTTTCTCCTTATCTTTCACTTTTTTGTTTTTGTTTTCCGTTTGTCTTGGTCGCGCAATTGCTTTTCGTTTGTTGTCGCGCCGCTCGAAAGGTGGTCATACGGTGGGTTCCCGGCGTGTCGACGACGCCGATGTCGCTGATGAGGTATTGGAACCGTGGCGAGGACGCGTTCCGCCAGATCACGGGCGTCATGGCTGTGAAGGACAAGAACTTTCTGCGGGATTACCTGCAGCGTTGCAAGGACCACAACCTCAACGCCGTCGTGTGCTTCACGACGGAGCTTCGCAAGAGCAAGTGCAAATGGTCAGGCGAGGAGACCAAAGAGTGGTGCGCAAGGGACATCTACCCGACCAAGTGATTGCGGCGGCGTGCCAAAATCGCATGGGTAGGCGTTCCCTCTTCTCTCCAGGGGCCAAGAAATACAACGCCACAGTTGGTGATATGGAACACATGTCATATACAGTGGGGGCGGGCATCAAGAAACCGGATGTCTTTCGTCAGGGTGCCTTTGGTTTCTTCGCGCCACGTGTTGCGCGATGGGTTCTCGCGGTCGCCGAGAAACTCTCGTGTCCAGGATCCTCTGGGTTTCTTCCCAGTTGCACCTCGGGCAATCAAACGGCCCGCTACCGAAGCCGTGCTGGCGTATTCTATGTGCGCGACCTGCTAAGAAATTGTTCGGGCCAGGGCCCCCTGGGTTTCTCCGTGTTACGCCGTCGGCTAAGAAACCCAAGCCCTGGGCAGGAAACTCTGCGGATTTTCAGGGTTCGGTTTCTTGCGAGGGTTTCTTGTGGCCGCACCCCCACTGTAATGTCATCGCATCGACATGTCCGAGGTCCGCGCGGATCTCAAGGATCGGCGTTGGAGTCCCCTCTATTGCACGCGGAGCTTTCGTCACCAGGAGCCTCTCACTTTTCGCGCTCGGCGCTGAGGGATGTTGCCCGTTTCTCCTCTCTGGCGCGCATGTACCGTTGGAGAACAGAATTTCTGGACGCTCCTCTGGAATCTGAAGGTGCCTTTTCGCTCTCTGGAGGGCTGCTTGGGCCTTGGGAGCCCCGCGGATGGCTCCGGCACGCTGGGAAACCATAGGATCCGGCGCGAGAGCTCCGGGGAGCGAAATCCATGGAATTAGCTCTCTAAACGCCTCCAGAAATTTTGTCCTTCAACCGCAGCTCTGCGCGCGGAACCTCGCCAGTAGCGGGCGCTGCGATGCCGTGCGGCGGTCTCTCTCACCGTGGTTCCTCTGCCCTCATCCCCTGTTGTAAAATTCTTCCTTCTTTTACGCTTTCCATCCTTGCTCCCTCCGCGATTCTACCTCCTTCCTCCCTCCCTTCATATGTACAAAAATTATGAGCCGATGATGATGATGATGATGAGCAACGGGGATGATGATGATGATGATGATGATGAGGATGACGCTGATGCCGATGTACGAAGATGATGAGCTGATTGTGAGGATGTATCGAGCGGTGTGGTGCTCTGAGCACTCCTCAGGGTGGGCCGCCAGGGGTATTGCACGGCTCCCGTTCGCGCCTAGATTGCGGGGATGTCTCAGGCGGTTTTTTTTTTTTTTTTTTTGATTCAGCATCGTTTGTTTTCGGAACAAAAAACATTTAGAACGCCGTTTTTGGCACGACGCACGCGCGAACCCCGTTCCGCACACAATCAGAATTGGAGATCTGAGGACTTGAACCCCACGAATCATTGGGACGGTTCCGTCCTGATACCTTACTTTCCACCATAGTCACATGCCTGGAAACGCACACCCTTCGCATGCTTGGGACATTTCCATCCTGTCAATGGGAACTCGTTCCAGAGCACCATGTTTGGAGGGTTCAACCGTACGAACCTGTGCGACTGTTGCATTTGTTCAACCGACTGTGCGCGCCGCTAACGCGAGAGCTGCGCTTTCAAACAGCACCGCCGTCCATCCGTGCCACTGCTGGATCCTTTCAAAACGAACATGCGCGGCGTCACGGCGAGAGCTACTTTTCGAATCGATCCAATTCGTGAAAGGTTTTGTTCGGGTGTCTTGTTCCCGTTGAGCGCCTCTCCCATTTTCGCCTCCACTTGTTCACACCGTGCTTCTTTCTGATGGGTGCATGCGCGTAGCTTGTTTTGTGATGGCGGCGCGGAGCATTACCCGCATTTTAAAGAGCAGCCCCTAACCAAAAAACAGAACAAAAAGAGGTGGGACCTTGAACCGGCCTGCCTCCTAGGGCTGTTGTGTTCTCAATGCGCAACGTAAAAAAAACCATCGCCGACCGTCGCTGTCGCCCCTCGCCCTCTGCGGGCCCCCGGCGGCTCTCCGCGGCTTCTGGCGGCCCTTCGGCGGCGTCCGGCCGCCTTCGGGCGCGGAGGGCGGCGGCAGCGGTTCGTCGTCGTCGTCGTCGGCCCTCCCCGGCTGGCTCGTTCGGCGCTCATCGGCGGGGGGAGGGGGAGGGGGAGGAGGGAGAGGAGGATGAGGAAGAGGAGGAGGGGGAGGAGGGGGAGGAGGAGAAAGAGGAGGAGGGAGGAGGCAGAGGAAGAGGATCTCGGTCATACGTATTGATTCATATTCCGCGGCGTGAACGCGTTCAACACGCGTTCCTTCGCGTGGAGGCCTCTGCGAGCTGATTGTGTGAATCGTGCGCTGATCTGTACTTCCACGAGCGTACTGTCACAAAGGCGTGGGCCCCTGGAGGGCCGCAGAAGCAAAACGTTAATTCAACCCACCCCGGAAGGGACAACGCGCATTCTGTACTTTCCTCATATGAAGTCAGAATCCATACTACTAAATAATATTCATAATATTCCGCACTACCCCCTGTCATCTTCTTTTCCCCCCCCTCCTCCTCCTCCTCCCCCCCTCCTCTTCCTTATCCTCTCCCTCCTCCTCCCCGTCCTCGTCCTCCTACTCCTCGTTCTCCTCCGCCTCCTGAGAGGCGCATGCCGACCTCGAAGAAACCCCCTCTGACAGGCCCCCCTGCCTTCTTTCAAGGCCGCTCCCTCGGACTGCCCCTTCCTGCGAGCCGCTGGCCCTCGGCCAGTATGCCCCAGGATGCCCCAGGATGACACCTATGAAGCCCCTGAATGCCTCAAGAAGCTCCGGCAGGCCCCACGAAGTTCCAGGAGGCTCTAAGAAGCTCTAGGAAGCTTCAGGATGCCCAAGGAGGCCCAAGGAGGCCACAGGAAGCGCAAGGAAGCCCCAGGTGGCCTGGAGGCCCCAAGAGGCCCCAGGAAGCACCAGGAGAGCCCAGGAACGATTCCAGGAGGCCCCAACAGGCCCCAGCTGAGTTTTACGTATGTTCCCATAGATTGGGCCTCTCTTGAGGTAGACGCCTCCCCAGGAAGCCGCAGGAGGCTGCAGGAGGCTCCAGGAAACCCCAGGAAGCTACAGGAAGCCCCAAGGAACACCAGGAAACCCCAAGAGGCCCGAGGAAGGCATAGGAAGCGCCAAGAGGCTCCTGGAGGCTCTGTCCCTAGGAAACGCCAGGAACGCCCCAGGAGGCTTCAGGAAGCCTTAGGAGGCGCCAGGAGTCCCTAAGAGGCCTCAGGAAGCCCCAGGAAGTCGCAGGAAACCCCAGGAGTTCCAAGAAACTCCAGGAGGCCCCAGAAAGCTCCAGGAAGGCCCAGGAGGCCCCAGGAGGCCCGAGGAACCCCAGGTGACTTCAAGAAGCCCCAAGAGACCCCAGGAGGATTCAGTCACGTTCAGTCATGCTCCAGCCAGTGACGTGCAGATACTCTCATCCAAAGCTTGGTATCCTTTCGCACACTCATGCGCATAGACTCACTCGTACTATTGGGCCTCATACACACTCAAACTCATTCACAGTTCGATACCCCCAGGCTGTGAATACGCAAGCTCGTTTATATTCGAAGTTATCTTCGCTTAGACACCCACGGCGGAAAGGTCATTGGAAATAAATGCACATATGGGGAGCCTTGGTGTTGAGAGCTTGTTACGTCACCGCTCGCTTTGGGGAGCCCTTGTGTTCAGAGATTGTTACGTTGCCGATCGCTCTTGGGAGCCTTGGTGTTGAGAGCGTGTTACGTCACCGCTCGCTCTCGGGAGGGTTGGTGTTCAGAGATTGCTACGTTGCCGCTCGCTCCTGGAAGCCTTGGTGTTGAGAGCTTTTTATGTCACCGCTCGCTCTTGAGAGCCTTGGTGTTCAAAGATTGTTACGTTGCCGCTCGCTCGTGGGGACCTTGGTGTTGAGAGCTTGTTACGTCACCGCTCGGCCCTGGGAGCCTTGGTGTTCAGAGCTTGTTACGTATCCGTTCGCTGTTGGGAGCCTTAGTGTGACTGTTACGTTGCCGCGCCTTGGCGTTAAGACCTTGTCCTGTCACCGCTCGCTGTTGGGAGCCTTTGTGTTCAAAGACTGTTACGTTGCCGCTCGCTCTTGGGAGTCTTGGTGTTGAGAGCTTGTTACGTCACCGCTCGCCTTTGGGAGCCTTGGTGTTCAGAGCTTGTTACGTTTCCGTTCGCTGTTGGGAGCCTTGGTGTCCAGAGATCACAGTGAGCGCTTGGTCAAAATATCCCGGCGGTCGTCTCGAGCTTGCCTCGGTTGTAGCCGTCTTGGGGCGGTCTTGTCGCCTCCTCGGTCATCTTGGGAGCGCTCAGGAGGTACATTTGGCTATCTCGAGCCACGAGGGTCGACACGCGTCCACACTTGTCCTACATCAAAAATTCTGATACATCCTTGTATCCGCAGAAGTTGTGTTCTGTGTGCGCCATCCCTGTCCGTAGCATTGTGGCTGGAAATAACGCGAGATGGGTCTGCACATCTGGTAATTTAAGCAGATCTATACTTGTATTCCATAAGCCAATGGAAGACATCCTTTGGGAGGCGAATGAATTGCCGGATGGAGCTTACGTTCGCAAGCTATCGTCTTTCATGGGGAGCTCCTATCTTCGCGATTGTGGGGCCCTTCCAGTGGCGGCTCGTCGCGATGATATCATGAGAGCGATCGTCGGTAATGGCATCGTGGCTATAAAGGCGGCCACTGGTAGCGGGAAAACGATGATCGTACCTCAAGTGTTGCAGGAGCGTTGCCCCAAGTATGCCGTGGCGATTGTTTTGCCTAGCAATTTCGCTGTGGTCAAGTTGCAGGAAGCGTTCGAGCGGCATGACGTCTTCTCTGATTGCGTGCACGTGCGCACGGGCGAGAACGACGAAGATCGATTCGATAGTCGTCGCCATCAAGTCTCAATCATTACCTACGGCATCCTGTGGAAGTGGATTGCTACTTATGAGGAAAAAGGATGGTCCCCCGTGCATCGCTACGGCGGTTTCTTCTTGGATGAATTTGCTGACCTGCAACCTACTGAGGAGATGGCAGCGCGGATTCTCGGGAGCTTGTTGCGCCGAGGTCATCTTT